ATCTCATCCTCGGTAAATTCTTTCAAAATGTTGGACTTTAGAGCTACACAGTTTCCAATTTTATATTCTATTAAAATGTATTCTAGATTTGAACCTTTAAATATATCAACCAGAAAACATTAACTCTATCCAACTATATCATTTGTCTCTATTTTACATCTAATTATTGCGGAAAATGCATTGTAGTTTGAACCCTGTATGTTTCAACCACAAAAAAAATTAACTATATCATACTATTTCATTTGTTTCTACTTTACAACTGAGTATTATGAAAAATATAAGAAATTTACTATCCATTAAGATTTCATTCCATAAAAAATTCATTGTAGTTTGAATTTGTGTATATTTCCACCAAAACATTTTTTCCAAATCAACCAATCAAATCATAAACAGATTTTTATCTTCTTTTCCAGTTACGATAATAAATAAACATTTTTACTAATGAATCAACTATGCGGTCGAAAAAAGCAAAAGAAAATTGAGGTTTAATTTATTGACTTGTTTATAATTGCAAGTAGTTTGTAACCCTATGAATCGCATAGTATATATATCTACATGTATACAAAATTTATATGGCGAAAAAGTGTTTTTAATTCTCTAATCTTAGAGGAAGACATTGGTTATACTCCCTCCGTTTTAAAATAAGTGTTACTTTGGTACTTTTCATACAAATTAAGAAAATCATTAAAAATTCTGCTTTACCCTTTGTTCACACATAAAATAACATTCTTTTTCTAATTAAAATCATAAAATTTAAAGGTTAAAACAGGATATTTATTCAAAATTAGGCATTGAAATTTTAAAATGACTCTTTTGTGAAACAAAAATAAAACTTTAGAATGATACTTATTTTAAAACGGAGGGAGTATTAGTTTTGGTCATTTTTTCTAGTTTGATTTATATAATTACGTTTTTGTGTTTCTTTGACTGTTTTTAGTAAAACCTCTTGGTTGACCAAATAATTAGATAGAGAGTAAGTTTAATTTTAAAATTAGGTAGATGGGAGAGAAAAATATTTTTTAGCCCAAAATCTCCTTCTTATTTAATTTAATTACAAAAAATGACATTCATCCGAAAACTATGTTGGCGACGTGAAATCTTGACAACATTGTTCACTTCTTGCTCCGATATTACAATTTACACTGATGAAATAGTTAATATATGTTTGAAAACATTGTTTACATAAGTTAACATTGTTATTATGTAAATATAATGTTAAACAAGTTAACAAATTGTAAAATATACATGTTAAACCAATAATATATTACACATATTAACGAATATATCAATATAAAATATATGTTAAACTAGTAATCCATATAACATTACCGTGGTAATGGTGTTATCTAAAAACTATTATCAAGTTAATAAGATTATATATCAGAGTGTTAACTCATTTATCAACATGAAACATTTGTTAACTAATTATTGATATAAAGTTATTGTGTTAACCGTGTTATGTAAGAAAAATAATCGTGTTAACACAAATATCATATTAAGGACCCAATCTAACAGTTCTTCCGAGAACCTTACCATTTCTACGAAAATTCACCGTTGCTCCGGAAACTCAGCTTCGCTTCGGCCAAGTCCGTACTCCCCAGGATACGCGGCAAGGTTAGGGTGAGCCTTATTTACCGTTTCTCCGGAAATCCAGCTCTTTTTCGGCTAGACCCATACTCCCCTGGGATATGCGGCAAGGTCAGACGACCTGTTCCAACATGGTTTTGAACCGGCCAAACCTTCAAGTATTAAACAAACCTTTGCTTATTACTACAGAAACGATTGAAGGATCGACTCCCGGGGTCATTTTCAATCAGTCGAAAAGTTGAAGGCAATTGTTGAGTCTACTTTTACCATGGCAAATATCGAGGCGACGCATGGACAACGTGTCGTGCCAGAGAGCTGACTTTCTTCCACTAGGACTGCCACCGACTCTTAGCGGACTCTTCCTAGGCAGGTGGCGTGCAAAACCAAGCAGGCTTTTCACGCAGCGCACCACACGGATGGGATAGGACGAATGAGAGGGTGTATAAAAGGAGGTCGAAGGCCAAAAGAGAACAGGGAGGCCAAGAAAGAGAGACCGGATGGGAAACCTGACGGCGGATCCAATGAAGGTCCACACACACCACTAAAATATCAGGAGGAAGAGAGGAAAACCTCCAACTCAAGTCTCACCGGAGCTCACCTTAAGCCCCGCGTGTCAGCGATACAAAAGAAAAACGCCCACCCTCCCCCAGAGGATATGCCTACCAAAATAAGCATTCTCTTCTCTTTTGCTCGTTATTCCATACATGTGAGAAGAGATTTCCTACCTCACTCTTCTCATGGTCCATCTCTTACATTCCACTCTCCACCAAATACCAGGCGAGTGTCATGACAATCAACCTATGAACCACCTCTAAACCTACTTTCCTGAGTTCTAGTTCCCGGTACGGCGTTTATTGACTTGAGTGTCAGAGAACCTTCCGGAGAAAAACCTCTTTTCGGTCCACTCGAAGGTCTATTTCACTCGTTTGCCTGTGTTCGCGGGATACTTGAGTGTCGGAGAATCTTCCGGAGGAAAACCTCTTTTCGGTCCACTCGAAGGTCTATTTCACTCGTTTGCCTGTGTTCGCGGGATCCATCAGACTTCTGGCCCGGAGCCTTATGTCGCTCACCCCCCCCCCCCCCCCCCCCCAATGAAACTTAGAGCTGCAACTCCTTACATTCGGACAAACACATATCCTCCGTACGTATCCTATAATTTACGTCCGAACAGATAATACCTTTTTTAATTATATAGTATAGATTTAACTTTTAATTTTTAATCATATTTTATATTTTTTTGGTTTAATAAATATGCTGATTTGGATTAATCAAATCGAGTTTACAGTTTTTTGGATATAGATTGTCAAAATTTTTATATTTAACTTTTTAATATTTTAATCATATATAATACTTTTTGGTTTAATAAAAAACGCTGATGTTGACCAATTAAGTCGAGTTTTTCCATCCTACTCATACTTAACATTTTTGGTTTAATAAAAAAATATTGATGTGAACCAATCATATTGAATTTTTTCTTCATATGTGGACGCTTTAATAGCATATAGCATCACAACTTTTATATAGTATAGATTAAGAGAATTCCAATGGAACCAAATGCTGATGTGTGGGTAACACTGATCAATCATTCTCGTGTACATAGGGTTCTCGAGCTCGAAGACCAATAAATCAAGCTATCAGATATTTATCTTACACTAATGAGAATGATAAGCTTTTACCAACCCATTGATAATTTCGTCCAGTAAAATTTCTCACAGTAAATTTCTAATCTGATAAATATATATCAAAAGGAAAATGAAGTCTCTTCTTATTATGCCATATCATCAACACATATTTTTAAATTATGACACATCATCAAATAATTTTTTAAGTTTTTAATTTGATTTATTATGTTTTATGTTCTTTACTCCTTCAATTCTTATAATAACTAATATTTATTAATGTAATAGATTTAAATAGAATATGAAAATTATTTAATCATAAATATATAGGTTATATATTGATCTAAAGAAACTTTAATTTAATAATTTTAGTTATGTCATATTGATAGTTTAAAAATATGTTCTTAATTTAATATTTTTAAAAGTTTAAACCTTTCAAATTATGGAAAAAAGTTTTGATTTTAAATATGTTATAAACTTATATTGATATAAGAAAGAAATACAAATATGCATTTTCATGGTTAGAAACAAGAATCCAAATGAATGGAATTCCATATTTTAAGAGCATCTTCATCTATAGAATATCTATAAAGGTTCTCAAATAAAAAAAATATCATTATTTTATCATAGTTACATATTATAACTAAATTTTAATTTTTTAAAAATTAAAAAAAAAAAATACAAGTGTGATTTGGAATTCTCATAGGTATCTCAAAAATTTTCATTTGAGATTCCTTTCTCATTCTCTCTCTTCAACTTTCAATATATTTTTCATTATTCATGAGATACACATGTGAAAACCTTTTAATGAGGATGTTCTAATAGAGGTAAAATCTGTTATATTAATTTTTAGCGTGTCCAACACAATCTTTGGATAGAAAATGGGCACAGTCTTATGAAAATTCCATAACATTTACATTTAAAATGTCGATAGAAAAAGAAATTATAAGGAAGATAATGAGGTTGAGTTAAAACTGCGCCAAAATATTTTTCTTAGTTCAATATGTTGTGTTTATGAGTGAGAGAAAAAAAATACTAATGCATCCTGAAAATACATTAATCACATGAAAAGTTCATGAAAACAATTAATTATTATTCATAATGTATAAAAAAACATTAAACATTTATAAAGAAAAACTAATATTATATGAATAAACATCCGACTCAATAAATAAATGTATGTATAATATTTAATATAATTTTTTACATCTAAGTTAATAAGTAACACCAATATTAAATATGTAACTATTTAAATTTTATCTTTAAAGTATGTATATTAAAATTTTGATATGTAATATTATTTATGAATCCATCATTTTTAAAAAAAAAATTTAACTTCTGTAGATATATTTATCTTTCTACTATATATTATACTCGATCAAATATATTTTATAGCTGCTAAAACAAAATCAGTTATATTTATTAACAACAAAAAAATACTAATAACTAAAGAAAGTATATATTTTATATTATTAAATTATTTGCAATTATGATGTAAAATTCGGCGCTATAGTATACTTTAATTTCACAAAATATTAATTGTGTAATTGAAACTACGACATATATTAAAACTACATAAAAGTACTCAATTTTTCATTTATTAATGAAACACAAAAATAACTTTAACATAAAAAGATTCTCAGTTACACATAAAATTAGAAGACAACAAATCATGAGAATCTTGTAATAGGCAAACTAAATTACCAAAAATAACAAAAGAGAGTCAAATATTTTACACCTTAGTAGTCACGGATGATTATCAATAACCTCGAGAAGCTGTGACGGACGGTGTTGCTACTGGGTCGAGCTGTCTACAACCTTTGGGTGCACCGAGTGCTTCTTAACCTTTGGCCTCATCACTTTCCAATCCGTTTGCCTCAGTTCCGGTTTAGAGCATAGTTCTTGCAGCTTTCTGCTGATTATGGGCTTTGCTTTCTTCTTCAAAAGATTTTTAACCTCATCCCTGGTAAACTCCTTCAAAGTGTTGGTGTTGGAGCCAGCAGCTGAATCCTCCATACACTTTCTTCTTTTCGTAGGATTTGTGGCTGGAGCACCACCAGCAGCAGCTCTTTTTGTAAACTCTCTACGCACAGCAACCTCTTCTTTTTGTAGTCCGGTTTGTGGAGCATGAGTAGGAGTTATGGTTCCAGTGTACACATCACTCCACTCAGAGGACTCATTACTCTCACCTCTACTCGTCTTTCTTGCGTCAGTGGTCTGACGGCTAGAGTCAAACTGGTGCTCGTGAAAGGGCTTGCGGATCGAACCTGGGACTGGAATATCGGTTTCCACAGCTCTAAACGGCTCACGACAGTTGGGACAACGAATTTTCTGGTTTAAGTACACATGATGATACTCATACCGTATCCTGCAAGTGCGGCATACAGTCCAAAAGAATCCATCATAAGTTGGTTTATGGACTACGGTAGAAGTAGCAGCAGAAGCAGCAGGAGCACAGACATTACTTGCTCGCTTAACATCTATCTTCGTCGTACTCTTAGCTTTCGTAGTTGCTTTAGTAACTTTCTGAGATCCGTTGCTTGCAGGCTTTGATGATGAAGAAGCTCCTCCTCCCTCATACAATCCAGGATTCCATTTCAGGTCATATTCTGGTCTCTTTGCCTTAGAAGTAGCAGCATTAGTTAAAGCAGCAGCAGCAGCAGAACCAGAACCAGAGGTGTCAGAAGTTGGTTTATGGACTACAGTAGAAGCAGAAGCAGAAGCATCGGCATCACTTGCTCGCTTAACACCTCCCTTCGTCGTACTCTTAACTTCCGTAGTTGCTTTAGTAACTTTCTGAGATCCGTTGCTTGCAGGCTTTGACGATAATGATGAAGCTCTCTTTGTCTTGCCCGAGAACATGCCCCAAGCCTGAGAAAGAAGCTTAAAGGCTTCCTCTCCTCCTACGGACTTGTTCTTGTCAGGATGAAGCATCATAGCGAGCTTTCTGTAACGTTTCCTCACTGTTTCGTAGTCTGCCTCAGGGTTTATGCCAAGCACGCCGCAGTAGTCTATCTCCCCATGTATGATGTTCTGGGCAGATAGATGTACACTAAATGTAGACACCATTTGCGAGATTCCATCGAGTTCTGGAAACAAGAACTGAGCCTTCTTCGCGAATTTCCTTGCAGCCGAAAAATCGTTCGCTAGAAACCTCTTTTGTGCAACCTCTCTAGCCCTAATGCCCCTTCCTTTACAACATTCCAGTTTGGAGTTTCTCATGATTTACAATTTGCTCTTCACGATGTTTGGACTAAGAGCAGAAGTATGGAGTGACAAGACACCAATTCCTGAAAAGGAAAACCAAATCAGGAAACGGAATCTTATAGATAAACTTCAAACTGCAAATACATTTGCACGTGAATCAATCAGAGTAAGGGAAATCTATAAACCGGAAGGATAAGGTGATAATCATGAGCGAAATTAACGAAGAAGCAATCAATTTATATATCTCATGACAAAATGCAAAATGATACAATGGAACCAATAACTATATCATTAACTCACAAACATACTGCATTAACTCACAAACATACTGCATTGAAGAATCTACTGAAAAGGAAACGTAACCCGTCATCATTAAATAGACCAAAGTGTTCTAGATATCATGAAATTTGGAGATGAAGTTAGCAATTCTAAACCTAAATGAATCCGCAGGGACATTGCTTGCAAATTCTGAACAATTCACTGAGAAAAACATTCAAACTTTCCAGATTTCCAAAGTATTCTTCAAAAACATCCTAAACCCTACATGTAGACGTTACTTGTAATTCTGAACAATTCGACACATATCTCATCACAAAATGCAAAAAAAAAAAACTACTCACTGCAAAATCAATGTATGTATATATCTCATCACAAAATGCAAAAAACGATCCTACTCAAGCACAAAGATTCCCAAAAGTTAAAAACAAGTCATCAAAACCTTTGTCAATAATTCACAAACATGCTGCATCGTAAAAATAGTAAAAAGTAAACGTAAACATGCTGCATTATTAATCAACCAAAATGTTATTAATCACATGACGATTAATACATTAAGTAAACAATTATGTGATTCAAAAACATCCTAAACCCTAAATGTATCCTCAGGGACATTACTTGCAAATTCTCACAATTTCAACATATATATCACTCACAACCCTTCAAGTTGTCCAGATTTAAGAGGAATTCTTCAACGAACTATAATCCCAGTGGACATTTAACACACAGTAGTAATCAAAGATCGGAACTTTAAGATGAAAACAATAAACAGAAGCAAGGAGACGGAATCTTACATAGACTATTCCGGGAAAAGGTGAACGGTAAAAGAAGGGTTTTGCTTCGTTTCCAGCAAAACAGATTCCGAATTTTGCGTCGAACAAAGCGATCCCAACAGAGAATTTGGAATGAAGGGTCTCTTTCTACTGAAAATCGGCAATAACAAGATTGATATGAAAATTGCAAATAAAATACAACCAATACAAGGAATGGAATCTTATAGATAAACTACAAACTGCAAATACATTTGTAAGCTAATCAGTCAGAGTAAGGGAAATCTATAAACCGGAAAGGATAAGGTGATAATGATGAGCGAAATTAACGAAGAAGCAATCCAAAGTAATCACGAGTAACCAATCATAAAATAAAATATGATCCCAAAAGTGATCTTACAATTATAAAAAAGTCATCAAATCCTTTATCTTTGACACATGCTGTATCTAACCCCAATCATTAAATTGCCCAAGGTGTTATGGACATCATGAACTCAGCAATTCTAAACCTAAATGTCATTAGTTACAATTTTTCTGCAAATCGATTTTTAAAGATATAAATATCCATTATTGTATACTATATTTTATTATTCATGCAGTTAATGCGTTCTGTAATTAAGACTTTTCTATAAAATTAAAAGGAAATATGAATTATATTTGAAAATAAAAAGGAAAAAACAGTTGTAAATATAATAAATAGTATTTCTAAAACAAATTAATATTTTTTTCCTGATAGCACATATTCAATTTTTTTTATATGGATCAACCAACCACCTGTCAATTATCTGTATGTGTGATTTAGGAATGAATGACCTGTATAAAAGTGTAATGTCTAAAATTAAATAGTTATGCAATCTTGTTGAATAAGAAATTACTATACATATTTCCATTAAATAATATTCATATAGATATGCATGACTGTTTTAATGATTAAGTAATTTTGTTTAATAGGAAAGTACTATACATATTTCCATTTAATAATATTCATATAGATATGCAAGACTAGTTAGATAGGCAATGAATCATCTGTACAAAAAATAATGTCTAAAATTGAATAGTGAATTAGTTTTATCGTGTAGGAAAATATTTATATTTTATTATATTTTAATAATTTTCACATAAATAGATATGCATGACTCTATTGATATTTGCTGATTAAATGCTAACTTTTTTAACAATCTTATTATTTAAAGTTGGATGCATCAAAAGTTAGTAATTCACATGATTGTGACACGTGTCAAGTTTTTTGATTAAGACTTTGACATGTATTGCAATTAAAACAAAAGTTATATAAATTTAGAAATTTAGAAATTATCACTATTGTTCCAAAAAAATATAACCACTACAATATTTAAAAGCAAAAAAAAAAGTTTCAAAAATAATAATAATATATTTTAATTAAAAAAAGAAAACTTTTTTCAAAAAAAGTAAAAACTAATTCTAAAAGAAAAAAAATAAAATATTACTCATATTTTGATTAACATATAAAAACTCTTATAATTTTACTAGGCTGATTTTTTTCTTAGATTCGAATCAAACGAATAAGATGAGAAACTGATGAATCGATGAAAAACAATCATAATTGTGGAAGCAAATAAAGAAAAAAGCTAATTTTTTTGAAATATGTAGCAAATTTTATATGTTAGTAATTCACATGATAGTGACACATGTCAAATTTTTCAATTAAAAATAAAAAAAGGAATATAATTGTTTTTTTTAATTATATATTTGAACTAAAAATAGGAAAAACAGTTAAAAAAAAACGTAAAGAGTACTAAAAGAAAAATGAAAGTATTACTCACATCTTTATAAAACATAAAAACATAGGGGGGGGGGGGGGGGGGGGGGGGGGGGGGGGGGGGGGGGGGGGGGGGGGGGGGGGGGGGGGATTAAACCAATATTTCATTTATTTTAACTGAATCGGATTTTAATATCATTTATTGCAGATGATATATATTAATATAAATTAATATGAGTGATGAAAATAGTTGTATCATTAGTAATATTGATTTAATTATTGGCATCACCACTTTTAGAGTCATTTAATTAAAAGATGAAATTAAATTTGCATCAATCATAAAATGATAATAACAAATAAAATAAATGATACAACACACATGATTTCTTGTAGTGAATCACAATCTAAGTTAATATGATTGAATTATATGCGAGTCAATTAATCAAAATTTACCATATTTAATAAATATTTTAACTAATAAAAGTCGAATATGAATACAGAAATAACTATAGTTAAAGATATTTAGTTTTAGTTTCAATTTATTATTTATAATTTTTAAAACAATTTTCAAACTCGTGTATACACGAGTCCTGATCTAGTAATATTAATACTATGGTGAGTTTTATAAAGTTGCATCTCTTTATTATAATTTTTCATTTTATAATTTTATTTTTATAATCATTTTTAATAATTTAAAAAATATCTTAGAAGACCATTTTTTGTTTTTCTTTTCTTCCTTTTCATTACTAATTGTAATCAAAATCATATTAATTATGAATTTCCGCATGAAAAACAAAAATATATTGATATCCATCAATCTTTGGATAATCAAATATGTTACACCTCCTTAAGTTGATATCCATCAATCTTTGGATCTTTGAACCAATATATATACATATATATATATATATTACGACAAAAGAAAGTTCCATATAACATTAAGCTGGTGCAAATAGGTCGGCTTTGTGAGCTAACTAATCTGGTACCAACAAGTTTACATGAGAAAAGATAAAGCTGTGAGCTCGAGCTTCTTTTGCAAGGGCTTCTGCACGGGCATTACAAGTGCGTGGTATGAAAGATAAAAAGAACCCTGGAAAATCAGAGCGAAGGTTTTCAAATTCTTCTAATTCTGATACGAGATTTGGCCATTCCTCATCTCCATCAACTAGCTTAAAAAGCTACAGACAATCAGTCTGAAAGTGAATAGAAGAAATATCATTTTGCTGCATGATCCGCATTGCCCATAACAGGGCCTTCATCTCTGCGTGTAGTGGGGATAATGTCGATCTTCCAGCGAAAGATCCCAATAGCTGAATCGTCTCATGTTGGAGGAGAACCAGCTCCCCTCCGAACAGTTGTTCCTTATTCACCCAAGATGCATCCACTTGACACTGGAAATCTCTACCTGAGTCTGTAGGATCAAGTGCTGTAACCTGAGTGTTTGTTGTGACGCTAGCCGCTTCCACATAATTAGCCATCTCCTAATTTGCAGCCTCATAAATTGCAATCTCTAAAGTATCCATCGGAGATATATCTTTCCCATTAAAAACTTTTTCATTTCTAGCTTTCCCATTGTACCATATAAGCCATGGAAATACTTTGAGTTGCTCTTCTGTTGCTCCTCGTTCCTTTTCTTTTGATAAGAGGTTATCAAGATTGCAGAATAATTCATCACACGGAAATAGGTCTGGAATAGAAGGAATTGGTGATAATGCCCAGGTCTGCACTGTCGGGGCACATTTGAAAAACAGGTGGTTTATCGATTCTTCTTCTGCACCATACCTAGGGTAGGATCGGTCATTACCACAATGCCTCTCCATTAACTAGCTACATGTTGCTACGCATCCCGACGTTATCTGCCAAAGGAGGTGTTTGATTTTTCTCGATGTTTTCATAGTTCAAACATGTGTCTTTAGAGCAGTCGTGCTTGGTTCTACTACTTGTAGCTTCTCGAGCTTGAGCTCCCAGGCGAGATCGTACCCCGATCTGACCGTGTAATTCCCTGATTTAGTATAAACCCAGCAGTAGCCATCAAAGTCGAAAGTGCGAGATGGTTTCAAACTCATAATCAAAGGGATTTTGTTGGGTTCGAAAAGCTCTTGTAGTTTATCTTCTTTCCAGGTTTTTGACTCGAAATCAATCAGGTGATTGACATAAAGTTTTTCATCCTTGTCTTCATGTAGACCTATCGCCAAACGGGTCGGGACTTCTGGGATCCACAGCTCGCTCCA